TTGGTGTGTTCCACTCTCTCTAGTTTGTGTTATATTTGTGACATGGTTATTGTGGTTCTGTTTGTAAAGTGATGACGTTCACAACGACGTTCTGTTTCAATGTAGCTACGCTACCCAAGCCACTGCAATCCATTCTCACAAAAACCTTACAATAAAAACTATACATTTACATTTAGGTCATTTATAATAATATAATATGCCATTTAGCCGACGCTTTTATCCAAAGCGACTTACAGTCGTGCGTGCACGACGCGGATCGAACACACTACCTTGGCGTTACAAGCGCCGTGCTCTACCAGCTGACGCTCTTATCCAGAGCGACTTACAGTTAGTGAATACATATATATATATACTGGCCCCCCGTGGGAATCGAACCCACAACCCTGGCGTTGCAAACGCCATGCTATCAACTGAGCTACATCCCTGCCGGCCATTCCCTCCCCTACCCTAGACGACGCTGGGCCAGTTGTGCGCCGCCCATGAGTCTCCCGGTCGCGGCCGGCTACGACAGAGCCTGGATTGCAGTGCCTTAGACCACTGCGCCACTCAGGAGCAACACCAGAGAGAACATAGGCTAAGTGCTGTAGCATCCCACCATACCCATTTTACATCTCTCAGGATGACGATTGAGAACGTCCAACCAGTTTTAAAGTAGCGGCATGGGTCAGTCTATCAGTGCTGGAAAATAATTTTACCGCTGAAAAGTATGACTGAGTCAGTACTGTTGTTTTTGGGTTGATTGTTGCAGAATTCAGATGCGTCTCTTTCCCTTCACGATGCTGGTATTTATTACATGTTGTTTTATTATTAATCCGAACATCAGGGCTGGAACTGAGGTCTCTGCCCTTAACAGATATAGGCCTGGTCCCTGTGAAGCTGTGTACTGCTAGAAACAACAATATCCACTCTAGGGATTATGAATAAATAACATGGGGGAGAATAGTCTGAATAATTGGTTGTGTGTGTGTGTTTGTTTGTTTGTGTTTGTGTGAATAATTGAGGGTTCCTATTCCCAGTCTATGTCATGTCATCTCCAGGATGATCTTTTAAAGTTTTTAATGGCAGATCTCTGTTAAGACTGCAAACAGAGGTCAAGGTCTGTCCCAAATAGCACCCTATTCCCTATATAGTGCACTACTTTTGAACAAAGCCCTATGGGTCATGTTCAAAGGTAGTGCACTACATAGCGAATAAGGTACCATTTGGTTCGCACACAATATGTTCCTCTAATGTAATATGAAGATACCAGGTATGGTTTCTCCTGACAGACACACTTTGATTTTAATGTAGATTTAGAAAGACAGTGTCCCACTTGGAGATGTCAACTGGAGTGCACAATTTCTTACTGAGGCTGGGGATACTTCTGGGCCCGTATCCTTAAAGATTCTGAGAATCCTCTCAGAGAGCTCCTAACTTAACCTAAAAATTCCTTGCCAGGAGTTTTAGCTTAGAAGTGATTCCAGAACATTTTCAGTGAACTCTGAGCCAGGAATGGATGAAAAATCCTATCTTAGTGAGGAGGTGTGGTTGACCCCGTTGCTAGGTATGAGTCATCATTTCAAAAGCCGTGATTGGTTGATCCTACAAGTTTGATGAAAATGAACTTTTGGTGATAATGAGCAAAGGATGTACCCTCAAATCAATAAACATAATTATACACTCTAATCTTATGCAGACTATAATTGTAAATAATATTTCACATTCAAGAAAATATCTGGAAAATGAATAGTAAGCTGTAGGGGTTATAGCCTAACATTAGAATCTAAAATATGTGAAAACTTAAGCTCATTACACCCTGTTCAAATAATGATTTGTGTCTCATTTGCTCATATTAATATCCTAGCTGGCATATTTTGTACTTTCACTTCCATATGGACCCCATTGAAAACAAGATGGCCTATCTCAAGGGGCTGTCCTTAATGAAGTAGAAATTGCAACGTTACAACTCAGTGTGAACTTAACGAGGGTAACACAGCTCAGCTTTTAACAATGTCTGTGATTGCTGGCTGGTCTATTTATGAAGGCTTGTTAACAAATATCCTACAAACACAGAAAATTGAGAAAAAAAGGAATCGCAAGCCGAACTGGACTGAGGAGCAAGGTTTGTTGCTGGCCCAGTTGGTGAACGAACATAAAGGTATGTTACGAGGAAAATTTGGCCCAACTGTCACTAGCCAAGGCAAGAGGCGCGCCTGGGACACAATATCCCAAACAATCAATGCCTCTTTTCCACTGGTGGTGCGGACAGGCGACGATTGTGAGAAAAGGTGGTATGTGCTGCAGTCCAAGGCAAAAGATGAGATTGCAGCACACAAGCGGGAATCCTCACTCACAGGTGAGCAAAATACTATGGCCTACCACATAATCTGGCAATTTGCTCCTGCTGGCAAAGTTAATTTACATGCCTAAGTACTGTGTTCATTGACTGTTTCTTTCTAGGGGGTGGACCACCTGCAAAGCGGCTGTCCCAGGTGGCCGACACTGTCTTTCAAGTCCTGGGACACTCTGAGGTCAGTGTCACCGGGCTGCCAACAGGCATTGACACGTCAATGATGCAGGCCCTTGAAATGCAGCAAAGGTAGGACACAGGGTTATTCATATCAACAGTGTTTATTCATTGCAGAAGCCATTTCATGTGTTATCCATGCTCATTGTATTAAATTAATTTAATCAAAACAATAATTAAACTAGGCCTATGTATTTCTGTAGCATGGAGCCATCACAAGAACCGGGCCCATCAAGTTTGCCGCCTGAACCATCTGCAGCTGCTACTCCGGATAGCCCGGCGGATCAAACACCATTCCCATCCGCAGCACCTGCTCCGTCAGCATCCCTGCAGGAGAGAAGATTGCAACTCACAATTGATGTGTTTGAACAACAAAAAAAAGTCCTTTCCCTTCAGGAGGAGTACTACCGCCTTAAAATTGAACACCTAAAAAATAAACCATTTAGAGATTGTGTTCTGTGTCTTGCATTTAACAGTTGCAGGTGATGTGCAGTAAAACTGTGGTAGTTCTTAATACCATCACAAGTTCTCAAATGACATGGGGCTACAGCTTGCCTGAAATGTAAATTTGTGAAGTTTGCCCTGTAAGGCAGTCCACTCTGGGCTAGGTTCCCCTGTGGAATGTGAATATCTTCTTCACCACCATCCTCATCGTTGTCTCCATCCTCATCCTCATCGCCATCCTCCAGAGGTTCTGCAATCTGTCTAACCTTGCAAATATTGTGTAATATTGCACAGGCTATGATGAGTTTGCTGACTTTTTCAGGCCTCAGCCGCACCTCTCCGTGGAGAACATGAAAGCGCCTCTTAAGCTGGCCTATGCCACGCTCCACCACCGCTCTTGTTGTCTTGTGGGCCCTACAATAGAATACAGACCTTTAATTATTTGATGGAAATATTGCACTACTTGGATGCTCTAACATATTGCTTGCATTTCATTTCCATGATTTTTGTATTGTTTGGCTTACCTGTTATAGTTTAGTTGGGGCCCTTGGCGTGGCTGGAGGTAAGGTGTAAGGAGCCATGGTTTGCATGGGTAGCCACTGTCCCCTAACAAGTGGCAATTAGCTGGCACATAGCGTCTCTCAAAAAGCTGTCTGATGCCACTCTCGGAGAGCATTCTCGCATCATGTGTGGAGCCTGGCCATTTAGCCACAATGTCCAAAATCTTCCAGGCCGCATTGAACACTATTTGCACATTGATGCTGTGGAAATTCTTCCTGTTAACAAAGACAGCCTCGTCCTCTGATGGCGCAATTATTCTCACATGTGTTCCATCAATTACACCCACAACGCCAGGGAATCCTGAAATGTCCATAAATGCCCTTTTATGTGTGTGTAAAGTGCGGGCATCCAGCGGGAATGAAACAAATTGTGTCACAATATTAGGTTGTGACAAAGCTGTCAGTGTTTGGGTGATGACTCTGCTGACGGAGGATTGGGACAGACCCAAGTCATCACTGCTGCATTGTTGCATTTTCCCTGTTGCCAAATACCTCAGGGTTGTGATTACTTTCTTCTCCGGTGTAATAGCGTTGTGGCGTCGAGTTGGTGAAGTAATTGCATCTCTAAGGAGATCCACCACAAACATGATTCCTGCACGATCCAATCTGTAGCGTCTCAATAATTCCCTGTCATCCAGTGTTTGCAGGACATCTCTCCTGCCTCCTCTGTTGGCCATTTTGTGCAGCTGCTTAGGGTAACTCCTAAGCCACTAAAAGTCCTCTTCCCTGCTCTTAGCAGATCTCGCCTTAGGAGCCCTTTTAAGCGCTAGGACTCTTGAGGAATAGCTTTTATATTAACTGGGATTTTCGTGTCACTTTTAGGGGAAATTCTAAGAAAACGTCATGCCTCTGAGAATTTTCTTAGAATTTGGCCGCTAGGAGCCACTTTTTGCACAAAAATTCTTTAGAGATACGGGCCCTGGTGTTTAGTGGAAGATTATATTTTAAGGACATGCAGAGATGCTATTGATGACAATGTTAGGATGGAAGAATCCAATGTAGTTGTCATAATCGTAGAAGTCGGACCTGTGTGGCTCAGTTGGTAGGGCATGGCACTTGCAACGCCAGGGTTGTAAGGGTTCGACTCCCATGGGGAACCAGTAGAATAAATAAATAAATATGCATTCACCACTTAAAGTTGCTCTGGATAAGAGTGTCCCCCCCCCCCCAGTTGTGTAGCGCTAGGGCAAAAAACAAAACTTACACTTGGGGGGGGCAGGACCGAGTTTGGGAAACCCTATGCTAAATTACTAAAATATGCACATTTATAGTTTATTCATTTCTGGTATGAGTATGTGTGAACAACTCCCCATCTTGTATCACTTAAAGTCAAGACTTTCGGTTCCCTTTCCTACACACTGGGGTGTGCGTGTTTGTGGGAATGTGTGTGCTGGTCAAAGGCGGAGAAAGATCCTGAGTCAGAACAGAACAAGGAGTCTGTTGTCAGGGAGTCAGAGAACCAGAGTCTGTTTATTTGATCTGTCCTGTAGTGTGAGATTCTGGAGCAGCAGAGGGATGAGGCCAATCAGAAGCTGCCTGAGATAGAGGAAGGTGAGCTGCACCAATCAACATCCTTGATTACATGGTGGGAGCTCAGATTTCCAATGAAGCTTCCATTATGGGAATAAATGTGCACATATTGTAGGAGTCTATTCATTCAGCGACTCTCTCTCTCTCTCACACTACCTTTCTCTCTCTCCATCTCTCTCCTCAGTGTCCTCTCAGCTGTTGAAGGAGATGGATGTTGTAGAGCTGCAGTTCCAGATCGAATGCTCATGCAGAGAGAGTGCAGAGGCCCTCACTGTCAAGTTGGGGTGTATTATGGTTACTGTAGTTCATCATGCGACAGCGTTGGAACTCCAAAGAATGTCTCAATGTCATCCACTAAACCAGTCAGTGTCCCATTTGGGTGTGCACGTTTTGTGCCAGCCCAGTACTAACACAGACAAATCAGCTAATCATTCAATGATTAGTTCATAAGTTGAATCACTACTAGGCGGGAACAAAAGCCTGCACGCCCTGTGGAATAAGGAACACTGCTCTTAACAGATATATTTATCCATGAACACAAAGGTGACCAAAGAGAACAAGGTTCTGAAGAGGAGAAGCCAGGCTCTGCTGCCACTCATCTCTGAGCTTCCTAAAAACATGGCCACCATGACCTTTAACCTGGAGTCTGACCAGGGGATGGACCCCATACTGAAGAAACTGTCCAAGCAGAACAAGAACATGAATAAGATGAAGAGAGGTGAGACCCCACTCAGACACATAGTGTTACTCATGATATACGCTCTATTCACCCCATACCAAAGTCACATTCAATGTTTTACGTGTGTGTGTGCATGTCCATAGTGTCCCAGCTTGTGACAGAGGATTTCACAGAGATCACTCAGAAACTGGAGCTGGCACAGTGCCTCAGACAGCATGCAGAGGTCTTCGCCCACCAGGTACACAACACTGTGTTTCTGTTTGTGTATTTCTGTGCGTTTTGAGTACATGTGTATGTGTTTCTGTTTTCTCAGTGTGTGTGTGTGTGTGTGTGTGTGTGTACGAGTGTGCACCCATCTCACACAACTCCTATAGGTGACAGAGAAGGGTTTATATTCACGCCTCTCTTTAACGACAGTGATATTGGTCATGCCATAGGAAGATAAGGAGCAGCAGTGGCCTCGGGGGGCAGTCCTAGTGAATGGAGGAGCATTGGACAGAGAGGGGGGCTACTTCCTCACTTCCTCATTCAGACAGGGGGTATATTGTGGGGCAGGAGGGGGGCATGGGGTACACCCATTCATTCTGTATTCATAGAAGAGGACAAATTAGCCAAACAAATACAAAGAGGTGTGAAAAGAGAGGGACACAGGCAGGCTGGTCACTTTGTAAAGGAGAAACACACACACACACACACACAGCTCACGTTTCCCCAGCTGGCCCTGTTGTAATCGAAGGTGGCTATCTTTTCCTTCTTTTTTTTACGGCGTCTCGGCGGACAACAAAAGTAGTCTCCCCTCTTAGAGCCCCCTCTGCTTTATAATGAGCACCCATCACGGCGGCAGTTTAAGAATGGGAACTATAGCTTTAAACACAACCTCGCCTTTAGCTTGACACTTTACATTGAATACTGGCAATTGTCGCCTTTGTGCACACTGTTCGCTATTTACCAGACGGGCACATAATGGGACGCCTCGCAGGGGACCTTACCTGTGAAAAGGACCCCTACTGTTCCGACACAACCACACAACTCAGCCCCCTTTACTCTTAATGCAATGCGAATCATTATTTGTTTGATGGTGTGTATGCGTGTGTGTGTGTGTGTGTGTATATGACGCCTCTATTTGTCTACTTTCACATGTTTTGAAAACACGCTCCCAATTCATAGATCTTCTCTCTCTGTACGTGTGGTGCTGCATAATAATGTTGTGGGCTTCAAACAATAAATAACTTAGCTAAGCTTGTGTGTGTGTCTGTGTGTGTGCGTGCGTGCACGTGTGTGTCTGTGTCTGTGTGTGCGTGCATGCATATTGTGTGGACACCAGCAGCCATTTTCCTTGTCAAACATTAACACTCACTACTTGGTCCCTAGCTGTGTGAAAATGGCCTAGTGCTAGAAAGATTTTAGAGTGCTTACACCAGGGTAATTGGGAATAAATATGGGACAGGGTGTTTTGTTAATTGTAATGATGATGTGTAGTCTAACACACAGATGACTGCTATCACTACACCTTCACTGTGTTCGACCTTATGGGAGCCAGAAATGAAAGTGACTCACTGACTTTCAATTCCTAAACTCACTCTCTCTGACTGTGACTATTTTGTTAACCTAGTTTCACTATCATATGACCATTTACAGCTTAATATTACAGCTTTATCTATGCTGCTGGAAGAGCATTTGTCATCATTCTGTATGGGATTCATTTAATTTTACTTCATACTGCCCCTTTGCACTAGTCATACCTCTGATGACTGTATGCTAGTCATAACTCTTGTACAGTCCAAAACAAAATATGCCAAAGCAAATGAATGATTGACGATTGAGTGATTGACTGATTGATTGATCCACGATTGATGGATCAATTGACTGACTGGCAGGTGTTGGTGAAGCAGAAGGAGACCCAGAGACAGAGCATGACAGAGGTACATTTGATAAAATAATCTGGTACATTTGATTAAACAAACGACTTCTGCAACGCTTTCTCTTCTTCCTCTCTCTAGTCCCCTTGTTGTCCTGCGCAACAGGAGGAAGGAGTCAGCCAACAACACTGATAAGAATAGTGAGTGTTATTACCGTGTTATGAATACTCATTTCTTTTTTTCTTGATGGGGGGGGGCACCCATCCACCCTCTTCGGTGGACAAAAATAAACTTTGTTTTTATAACTTTTTCTACACAGATTTTACATACATGTGCTGTGATGTTTCACATAAATTCTGAACCTGTCAAATCGCATAGTATCTACAGATTGTAAGTTAAAGATAAATATTTTTACTAAAAGTATTATTATATTGTTGATTGATTGACTATGGTTTTCCAAATCTCCCAACAATTCTATTTGTAGGGTTAATTTTAGATAAATGTTGTGATTTTTCAGCCATTCCTGAACCTGTGACCAGATACAAGCTACATAGGGGCATTACCAAAATAAGTGATCTAATGATTTTATCTCTTCGTAGCAAAATCTGCAGAGCTGAGATGGTTGTATGCCCCATAACATTGTTTGTGGCAAGAATTTTATATAATCATTTAAATTGAAAAACTCTCAATTTTGAGTCAAGCGTTGTTTTGCGTATCAGTTCATTAAACCATGTGCCACAGAATTGGCACATCGAAAATCTCTTCCCAACTACTTTGCAACATGTATGGTCCCGCGGTCAACATTTTGGTCCTCAAGTAAAACTGAATTTTCTTTTGCCAATTTTGGTCTTTAATAAAGGGCAGACAAACAAGTTCCCTACCTTCTCCCCCTTCCACTTGCCTCCTCCATTTTTGCGGTAAAGCTGAAATCAGTTAGTTGTAATTTTGGATAGAGCAAACATTTCCATATATGTTTAACTGCACATCATTAACAAAAATAATTCCTTTCTTTTCTTCTTTTTTTTCATAAATAATTGTTTAAAAAAAAAATCAATTAGTATATTTTAATTTTTAATTTAATAAACCATATTATTTGTTGTAATATTTGTTCTGTCTTTTCTGGAGGATGAAACTGGAATTGCAACCAGCTTTGTATGACTTGTTTTAGAAAGGGCGATATTTTGAAAAAGGTTCAATTTTCAATTAACTGAAAGTGAGAGGTAGTAATCTGGATAAAGGGAAAAAGGCAATTGTTGAACAAGGGGTGAAACATTCTTACTAATCTACTGGAGAACCAGATAAGGTTGAAGTATAATTTTTTAGTGAGAGGTTTATTAAGAATTTTTGTCCCCCGAACTCATAATCACTATTAAAATAAGCACTTTTTTTTGTCTGGCTTGCCTGTTCCAAATAAAGGCAAATATTTTTTTCTCAAATAATTTAAAAGACAAATCGTTCGGCGTTGGCAGGGCCATAAGTAAATAGGTCAACTAGGATATGACTAAATCATTAATCAGGGTAATTTTTCCACAAATGGACAGGTGTTTACCTTTCCATGGTAGCAAGATCTTATCTATTTTTTGCTAACTTTCTGTTAAAATTGGTTGTAGTAAGTTCCTTTATTTCTTTAGGGATATGAATACCGAGTATGTCCACTTCAACTTCAGACCATTTTATTGGTAAACTACACAATAATGTAAAAAGTTGAATTTTTTAGCAATTCAATACGTAATATGGTAGACTTATCATAGTTTGGTTTTAATCCAGAGAGGTTAGAAAAATTATCTGGATCCTCTATGAGGCTGTGCAGAGATTGTGGATTTAAGAGGAAATGTGAGTCTTCAGTGTACAATGACAACTTTGTTTTTAAGCCCTGGATTTCTAGCCCCTCTATATTATTGATGGATCTGATTTTAATAGCTAACATTTCGATGGCCATAATAAATAGATATGCCGACAGTGGACAACCTTGTTTTACACCGACAATTTAATACTTTCTGAGAAGTAGTAATGATTTATTATTTTACACCTGGGGTTACTATACATAACTTTATCCCATGGTATAAGAGATTGTCCAACTTTAAAATAGTCCAGGCATTTATATATAAATTCAAGTCATACTTTATCAAAAGCCTTTTCAAAATCTGCTATGAATACCAGACATGGTTTCCTAGATTTTTCCTAGTGTTCTATTGTTTCAAGTACTTGTCTTATGTTATCTCCAATGTACTGTATCTTCCATGTAAAAAGCCTGTCTGAAGGGCCTCCCGAGTGGCGCAGCGGTCTAATGCATTGCAGTGCTTGAGGCGTCACTACAGAGCCGGGTTTGATCCCGGGCTGTGTTGCAGCCGGCCACAACCCATGAGGCAGCGCAAAATTGGCCCAGCGTCGTCTGGGTTAGGGGAGGGTTTGGCCAGCTGGGATGTCCTTGTCCCATCGTACTCTAGCGACTCCTGTGGCGGGCCGGGCGCATGCACACTGAGACAGTGTTTCCTCCGACACATTGGTGTAGCTGGCTTCTGGGTGAAGCGAGCAGTGTGTCAAGAAGCAGTGTGGCTTGGCAATGTCGTGTTTCAGAGGATGCATGGCTCTCTCCCGAGTCTGTATGGGAGTTGCAGCGATGGGACAATACTTTACCTAGCAATTGGGGAGAAAAAGGGCAATAAAAAGCCTGTCTGATAAGGATGAATAATATCTGACAACACCTTCTTAATTCTATGTGCTATGCATTCTGCTAGGATTAGCCAAATCTGTTTATCGTCCAATAGCATATTTTAAATGATCCACCTTCCTTTCGGTCTGTTTTGACAGTTTGCCCATTCGGATCGAAATTGTTATTAATTAATATCATCACCCCTTTTGAATTTCTTTGCCCATGACAGAAATATATTTCTCCCCGTAAACAACAGATATTATATTCCTTCTCTTTAAGCTAGGTAAAGACTGATCGTCTTTTTTTATAATATGCTAAGGCATTACAATTATAACTAGCTATACTTATTTCACCGCTTACCATAATGAGATACAAGTTTCAATTACACTTACCATAATATATGCCTGTACATTTACTACCAAAAAGCCCCATGATGATCAAGCTTCTAGTCACCCTGAATGTACCCATACTTACCAATACTACCAGAATCAATGTCTGTCATCTATCCATGTAGCTGTACCATAAC